AGGAGGAGAGAGGAGGAGGAGGAGAGAGGAGGAGGAGGAGGAGGAGAGAGGGACGGGAGGGAGCAGGTGAGAGCGGCGAGGAGAGAGAGTCAGGAGGCGAGCTGCCATTTGTATTCTCCAGGTCGCGTATCACGTATTAAAGGAACAGTTCATATCGAGAAAGGAGAAAGTGAGAGAGACAGCAGAGAGAGAGAGAGAGAGAGAGAGAGAGAGAGAGAGAGAGAGAGAGAGAGAGAGAGAGAGAGAGAGGGGGGGGGGTGCGTTTGCGTTGTAGTCCTTCCTTCCCCCTCCGGGGTCAGGGGCCAGAAGGGTTAGCCCGGTCGGTCCGGGTGTGCTAGCGAGACTGAGGCCTGCCGAGGACCGGGAGCGGGGCCGACGGGGCCGGGGCCGACACGACGGCGAGGCAGGAGGAATGAAAGTTGGCCTGGAAGGCATACAAACGGTCCAATTTCAAACCTTGGCGGAGAAAGGCAAGAGGTTTGTGAGAGAAAGACAGAGAGAGGGGCAAAGAGGTTTGGGGAGCGGAGGGGGTGAGGGTAAATTTGTCGACGGGAAAGGAGGAAGAGCAGCAGAAGCGCGGGGTGGATAACGGAATTGCAGACGATTACCGCTCCGTCCCGTGATGGGGTTCTCATGACGGGGAGGAGAGGGGGGGGGGGTGGAGGACTACGCCGCCGCCGGACTACCTCTCGACAGTCGTGCGGCGGAAAATGGAGAAAAGGATTCGCACAAAACGCACAGAGCGGTGGCGGCGCGGGTATTGGCGAGGGAGCAGGCAGAGCAGAGCGCGCGCTGCGCTCGCGAAATGAGGGAAAACAGATTACGTTCAGAAATGTCGGCAGCGTTTGGCTCACGGGGGAGGAAGAGGAAAGCCCGCGGCCACCGTCGCAGCGCCCCGCTACTATATACCAGCGGCGGGGCAGGAAGACCCCTCTGCAAACCTGCTTCTGAGGAGGATGCTACTGGCCGGGCAACGCACCCGGCGGCCGGGCAGGTCTGCTCGGGGCGGGGCGGCGGCGGGAGGGTCGGATGCAGGCGGGGCCCTCCTCACCCCGACGATGATTGTTTCTGCCGGGGATGGGGGGATCAAATCCACTTAGGTGTGGCCCCGGCCCGGCCCCGGCGGGGTCCCCGCCTCCCCTCCCCCCGAGAGCCTCACACGGCCTGCCCGGCGCACGACGGCGACGGTCAAGGCACCACTGTCCTCCGCGCTCGCTACTTACTGGAATTGCTGCCGGCGCATCTGGGGCGCCGTGCATACTAACGCCCGCTCAGCGCCACCGCCTCTCCACCCTCGACTCGACTCGTGGACCGTTATCCCTCCTCGGCGCGACCCTCCTCCTTGGCCTCCTTGGCCTGGTCCCCTTTCTTTCGCGGAAGCGCCGTCGCATTACCTCACTTATTCCCACTTTCCACGTCCTGACCCGAACTGAAAGCAGCTCGCCGGCGTATGGACAAGCGAAACAGAAGTCTACCCATAGCGCAGAGGTCTTGACCTGAACTGAAGCAACTCGCCGGCGTATGGACCAGCGAAACAGAAGTCTCCCCACAGCGCAGAGATCACCGAGGTATTAAACAGATTCTTGTAGCAAAGGCATCTAGTACTTTTGCACAGTGTCAAAATTTCAGACAGGCTAAGTGATCCGCGCCGTCTTTTTCCTGCTTATAAGTGTACCGGATTCAGGCTTGTTTACCTCGCTCGCTCGCCAGGCCGCCTTGGGGCCCCGTGCGAGTTTGCAACCCGTCTGCACGCAAGAAACCGATAGTGCAAGCAGAAAAAAGACGTTGCGGGTCACCCTCCCAGTATGTCACGAAATACTGTCGGTTCCCAGCAGTTTGTGCCGTTCTCCAGACAGCGCCGAGAGACCTATCAGGATCAGGGCGTATTTTTATAGTATTAACATCAATCAGTGCTCAAAAAGCCAACATGTTAATAATCCGGCACCAACAATATCAAAATGCACCCTCCTTGACCCTGCTTGTTCGACTGTGCAAAGAGGACCTTTTAAAGAGAAAGGGGACCCAAAATCAGACACCGGTATTCTTTTGGGTATTAAATATTGAGGAAAAATAAAAGAAAAGAGTAATCGAGTATGATGGTTCTCGCCCCAGTGAGGCGGGGAGAAAACGCTCTCGCGCCGAGGCTGTTATGACGAGGACGGCGCGGACAATTTGAATACGGCGCCATTATTCTGTTTGTGTTTCCGAGGCGGCGGCAGGGGGCCGGAGCGGAGGTGGGCGAGGCGGGGCAGGGCGGGGCGCGGCGGGGGGCCGCCGGCGAAAGATCAGGTTTCCGATGTCTTGCTCAACCTCTGCAACGACCGTCCCGCTTCTGTATCTCCACTCTCTCCTCACCCCCCGCTTTCCTCTTCTCCGTTTCCTGCTGCTCATCCATACCCCCTCGCCGCCTCCACTAGTTTTGGCCTCGCCCAGATTCTGTGCATTCCCTTGTAGATTGAGATGGCTAGCTCGTCGCGGCAGAAGAGAAAGCCGAAAACGGGAGAAGGAGCGAAGAGGACGAAAAGGGGCTGCCGGGCTGGGTCGGCCGGCGGGATAGAGAGGGCGCGCGTAATGTGTCGCGCAAACCAAATGAAAATTTCGGTTCGTGGCGCGCTAGACTCGATTGCTGTTGACCTTGTGCGGAATGTAGGCAAGGCAGACAAGGGTGCGGGGCGGCGCGTGGGGCCTCGGCAAGAAAAGACACGCGCAAAGTTGGGTAAGTGTGTGTCCCGTGCTGCTCCGAAGGACACGAAGCAGCACAACTATAGTAGCAAGTATGGCGGTAGGGGGAGGGAAAAAACAGAGTTGCCTGACATTTTGTTGATCAAATTCTTTTACACACGAAATTGTATTAAGATGCCCAAGATGTTGGTTGAGCAAAATTATTCCGTCCTCTTTATCGCGGCGAGTCTCTAAAAATAAGAGCATTTAAACCGGCCTTTTTGAGTCGTGGAGGGGCCGAGGGGCAGCCGGAAGAGCGAGCCAAGTGCGCCTTGAATTTTTCAACCCGGATCACTTTCTTCGCAGCCCTGCAGTCAAGTTTGTTGTCCCGCGTCGCTTTGATGTCCAGCGTTTCACTGCGCCTTCGCCATCCGGCGCTGTCTTCCTTTTATTTTCATTTAATTTTTATTGTTTTCAGGCTGCCGCGCTGGAGGGCGCGCCGCGCGCAGCCCCAAGAGCCCTTCACATTACATCCCAACCACTTAGATTGTCGGGGCTGCTACTGCGAGTGAGTGCCAGAGAAGTGGTTGTAACAAGAGTGCAAGTGAGCCACCCCACCAGGAAAAACGGAAGGGCGTGTATCTCGCGTCCTAGGTTTTGCAGGGAGTCGTTTCATACCGCGTTTCATACTGTAGCACAGATCACAAAACGAATTTTGTTTGTTAGGTTTACTGAACTTTGGTATATGATTCTAGAAGGGCAGCCGTTCAAAAACTACCCCAAGATTGAGTGGCCCCTTTTCAGGAACATAAATAAAACATGAAGCTTAATTACAACATATTACCAGTTTTCGGGGCGGGGAAAAAGAAAAACAACTCAAACTTTAGAATCATCACATGACATCGTAGCGCAGAGTCGTGTAATTACACTACAATTACGTTTATGTGTGTAAGTGGTTGAGGCTGGCACCGCCTGCGTGGCGACCAAGTACAGCAACCATGATGGTGGGGCAAGCCTCGCCTCGCCACTCGTCGCACGTTAGGGCACAAACAGCAACGTTGGAGAGCGTGAGGGGGGGGGGGGCGAGAGAGATAGAGAGGAAAGAACGGGAGGGAGAGCAGGGGGTCGTGACAGCGACGCGCGCCTTGGGGTGGCGATGTACTGGCGTAGAAAGCCAGCAAGGAGACAAAAAGAAAAAAAAAGATAAAGAGAAGTGAGAGAAGAAAACAAGAAGAAGGCTTTGTCGGAAGCAGGGTAGGAGGGTGGTGTAGTGGGGGGTGGGTAAAAATCATGGATCATTATCAGGCAGGCACGAAGGTCTGGTCCATTCCGGGCCCACCACCACCGCGCACAACGCAACAATAGCTAAGCATTTCACACCAGATTGCCCCCCGCCTGTGCGCGGCTCCTCCCCTCCAGCTCCGTAGCCCCCCAGCCGCCCCCGGCGCTGCTGGTGCCCGTTGGGGCCCCCAAACAGCACGAGCCCCCCGTGCTTGGGGTTGCGGGGGGCACGTGAGCGAGCACTACATGTGGTATCGTGAGACAAAAGAGCATGGTGCCCCATGTCTGTGTTTTGGGCTGAGCGTTATATGCACCTTTTAAAAGGGGAACCAATAAAAAGAAAGGAAAAAGTTTCAGAGAGAAACGCGAAACGATGATGTAGGGCGTCAGTATATGGATATAGATGTAGGGCGAAATACTCACGGGCAACCTTCATCTTGCGCCGGTCCTCCACGAAGCCGCCGCGGATGTGGGGGTTCTCGGCGTGGCAGGTCAGCACCTTGCCGTCGTCCTCCGCCGTCGCCTGCAGCGTCACCGTCGAGCTGGTCACGTGGCGGTCGTCCGTCACCTGCAAGGCACGACAACCAGACAATTAGCCCGAAATAGCACGACATAGATAACGTCCACGGCAGTCCACGGCAGCACCCCTTGGTCTGGTACCGGGCAGATGTTTCAGCACTGATAAATTATTGAAAAGCGGTAAAGACGGTTTGCAATTGGCGAAGTATTCGATTCGGATGCTTTGTAACTGTGGAGCATTTACTTTCTAATAGCACAAAGCGACACTTCAAAGTTCCAAAGCTAATTTCCAATTTGCAACAGTTATTATGACAACCGAGGACAAATGTAGTGGTGTGCAGTTAAACACTGGTTAATGTACAATGCGCCACCTCAGTTCACCTAGTGCAGATTTAGCTGCAGTTAGAGTGGTGGGTCTCCCACCCGGGCTTGCCATCCGGTGACCTAGCGTCGTACACGAAAAGCACAGAGGCATGCACTGTAAAAAATAATCACGGTCGCCCATACGGAAATATGCCATTTACTTAACCTACGGCGTCTCCGTACCTTGGGTTTCGTCCCCTCTTCCCATAAGAGCCCATGTAAAAAAAAAATGTGGGTACGGAGCCAGGGTACGGAAAAGTACGGAAAAAGTCCTGCTAATTTTGATCCCAAGGTCTTCGTCTTGAGTACGGAGTCTGTTACGGCGTTCTGTACCACCTTCCCTATGCTAGTCCATGTAAAAATCGTTGGTACGGTGGCCATGTGCGGCGAATCTCCGAACCACTTTCGAAAATCACTCCCAAAAGTGAGGTACGGAACGCCGTGACAGGCTCCGAATCCAAGCCTGATTTTTTACAGTGTGGAGTAGAAGGGGATGACAGAGGAGAGCAGCGCGGGGGAAAGCCCAGTATTGTTGAGTATAGTCGGGCTCGTGTGCTGGTGCTACTATAATGGCAGTCTTTGGCTGGCCACTAGGTGGGGCACGGCACGAGAGCCGCGAGCGACAAATTGGGTCGCTCTATAATTATTGACTTCTACCCTGTGCCTCCCTACTCGTTACACGACAGTAACAGTACATTTAAGTGTCATGTTGTGTGTTCGTTAGTATAAATTAAAATGTTTTAAATGTACATCCTGCTAGAAGGTCACCCTGGTGAAGCCTGCCAGTACCAGCCCCGCGAGTGTCTGTCAGCACCACAGGACACCTGGCGAAAATCAAAGAGGCGCTGTCCCCACAGGCCCCCGAGGGTGGACGCCCCCCTAGGCTGACAATGCAGGCCCTCAAACAGGCCGACACGGCACAGACCGGGACGGGCCTCCGCGTGACACTTTGACACCGGACCTACCGGGCCTACCCCCGCCGGCCCACCCGGCCGGCCGGACAGGCAGACGGGGGTGATCGTGCCGACCGGAGCGCGCCAGTGTCGCGTGGGCACACGGCGTACTGACACAATGTTGCTGCAACCGAAAGCACCTCTCGGAAACGGACAAAAATTACCCAGATAAGAAAATGACGAAGAGGGCCGCACTATTTTACTTTGTCTTGTTTGTTTATTGTCGTTTTTTTACTTTTTAAATTAAGATTCAGGCTGTTGTTTTTTGTCTTAAAAAAAAAGATGAAACTTGATTTGAGTGTATTATACTTCGAATCTTTTAAATTAAAGTTCAATATCTATATTATGAATCAATATTGAGAATCTGTGTATTTGCATTACAAACTAGTAGTTCTGAAGTTTAACAATAAGTAGTACTTTGAAGGAACAATTTCAATCATTGCAATACACACAGTGCAAATTCTTTTTGCAAATAAGTTACAAAGATTTTTGAATTAGTTCGTAAGCCATTCATGGTTGCACGGACGCTCCGATGCATCTGCGCACGTGTCCATTCAGGCATGTCTGAGAACACAATGCAATGGACACAGACTTCGGAACAGTGTATACGAGGCCGACGAGGCCGGGCTGGGGCCCCTCTGGTGCGGCCTCGCCCCTGATGCTGCTGGCCAGGCTGGGCGGTGCAGTGAGCGCATCCAGAGAGGGAGAGAGGAGCAGGGTGAGGAGGAAGGAAGAGGTATAGCGCCGGCAGAAACAGACCGGAACGGATAGGACTCGCAGAGTCGTCAGCGCGCCGCCCCCGCCACTCCCTTTCCCCACTCCCACTTCCCCGCGCCACCGCAAGGAAACTTTCCACATGACACGGCGAAGCGGGGCCGGCCATGTCCCCCGCTGACACTGACACGTCGGAGACGTCGGCTCTGTTCGTCTCGCTCGCTCCCACAGCGCCCCGCACTCGCTCTCGCTCGCACCGCCGCTCATCTATATGGGCCGTGTCGGGTCGGGGAGGGCGCGCAGGAATCTCCCGGCATGTTTATGGCGGGGGAGGTTTTCACAAGTTGTCCCAAGACGCGAAATTTTTGAGGTCTACACCGCCGCCGCCGAGCCTGAGCAAGGAGAATGCGTGTGGGTGCGTGAGCATGTGCGTGTGTGTGTGTGCGTACGCGTGTGCTTGTGTGTGTGCGTGTGTGCGCCGATGTTACAGCCATGCCCGCACGTCATGTCGTCGAGCGCCACGCTGGCGGCTTTACCTCCACTTGCCCTCCCCGCTCACCCCCATAGCGTAGCTCCCATACCCGCCCCTAACATGGCGCTCGCCGATATCCCCCTCCACACACACACACTGAGTCCTTCATTGGCATAAAGTTGCCGAATGTGTTCACTGCTATTGACAGCAAGTCAGTCGTCGACCCGGTCGCTGGCTCGCGGTGCACGCCGCCGTTCCCACTGCCCTTGGCTCCACCATCACGCCCATTCCGGTTTCCAACGACGTTTTCCGCGGAAAGTTGCGCACTTTGACGAATGGAGTGATCGGGTTTGGCGACGCGGCGACAGGGCATTCGCTTTGCGCGCCAAACACCGACGGGTCCGACGGGTACGACGTGTGGGACGGGTCCGAGGCTGGCTGGCATGCGCGGGACCCGGTGCGGCGAGAATGTCCCGAGTCGACGCAAACATGCAGTGCTCCCCCCGCACCACCTGCGGCCGCCCGGGACGGGAGACGCGCTCGCATCGCAGTCCTGCTGCCCCTGAATTAGGTTGGCCACGAAAAGTTCGTAGACTCGTCGGGCTAGAGAAACTATACATGTACTGGGGGTGCTTCAATTATTTCAGAAAGTGGACACTGGAAAGTTGCGGGTAAGTTTATGTATTGAATTTAGAGTGGGATAATCCGAGTCCCTCCCATCCCCCTTCTGCTGACCCAGTGGGGAGCGTACCTTCCAACAGGGGCTGACAACGAATCTTTACCACGCGGGCGGAAAATAACACAAAACAAACGAACAAACAAGAAAATCAGACAAGATTACTTACCACCACCGCCGTGTTGCTGAGCGCCTCGCCGTCCAGCAGCCAGGTGATGACCGCGTCGGGCACCGACCCCTCCGTCTCGCAGCGCACCTGCTTCGGCCGATCCGCCGGCACCGACTCCAGCGCCGTCGTGATCCGCACGGTCCGGGGCTTCACTGCAAGCAGACCGGAACACAGGGCGCTCTTAGACCGGGTTTTCGTAAAATAATCACAAATCATTTTGTATTCGTTTTTCAGTTTATTTTGAAAAACAAGGTTTGGAAAATATAATCAAACCACAATTTTGCTGCTGCCTTCGAAAGTAGAACTTAGGGAAAAAGTCATGATTGTAAAGGGGAGAGAGATCTGGAAATTTATGTGCTTGCATTATTTTTATCGCCGGTTGAGGAGTGCGGCACCGCAATACGTTTCTGTCTCTCTTTCTTTCCCTCTCTCTCGCTCTGGCTTTAGGCAGCAGGTAGGTACTCGGCGGCACACCCCTCCTGGCCTGGTTTGATCACCGGTGCCGAGAGGGGACGGCGGCGCCAACGCGAGGCCGTTCCGATTCATGAGATGACCGGTTGATGCGTCTCCCTGAGATGGTTATGGTCTCTCTCTCTCTCTCTCTCTCTCTCTCTCTCTCTCTCTCTCTCTCTCTCT